ACACGTAGCAGGTCTGTCTTCAAAAACGACTGCTGGATAATAGTTAAGCACTAACTACATTTTAGACATGGTGTTTCTTTACAGGAATGTGTTTATACAAGCCAAATTTATATAAATAAACCCGACTTAAATTACTTCCTTACATTATTTTGGGATTTGTTGTAAAATTCACCGAATTTCGAGATTAATCAAAGGAGCTCATAATAGCGATAGGTGGCAATGGATTTCACCCCATTTGTACAGACGTAGCGTTTTGAATAAATAGAAAAGATTGAGATAGCATTGAGCATCACTGGAAGAACACCGCGATCACAACTAAAATCCTTGTAAATTTGGCCATCATATCCTGAGATAAAGGATGCTTATTTTGAATGGATTCTATGGTAATTTACACATTTCAGAAGCCTGAGATTAGGCAGGACACGTACAGGGACCTTGCCGTTTAAATATCAACTCGGGTCGATTCTATATCTCGATTCGAAACCTGGCATTTTCTTATATTCGCGCATTCTGGTCTAGGACTGCAGCCAAAATGTGTCAAATAATGGCCTGAAATATTAGTTTATTTCATTATTTCAGTTACTTAGTGACGGTTGACTATTGCTTGTTAATGCATAAAATTAATCAACCAGGGAAATTTGCCTTATCTTTTCCTTCTTCGAAGCGTATTGAGTTGCCCCTGAAATGAGAACACAAATGGCATAATCAGCATACGATAAAAAGGCAGTTCAGTCATTATCTCACGCTTTAGCTAGGTTGAATAATACATTGTAAGTACACTCTTGCTGAAAGAGGATGGAATGTTTCACCAGAATATTACATATGTGATTTCAGTAAGGTCATGCTAAGACAAAATGCTCCATGCAACCAAGTCATTAGTGTTCTATTATAGTTAAATTCAACTTCAAATGACACTGTGTCTGTTTTTATGGTAGTCAATTCTGCATTTGGTAAATTATTGCCAATTCGTTAAAAAAAGCAAATACCCGGTCCAAGGAAGCGGTGATTGATGCATATCACCAGGGACACCCCAAAGTAATAGATTCCATGAAGAATGCCAGCACCGAGGAAGGATCTCTTGTAACTGCCACGAAACCGGATAACCGTCTACCCTTCGAGGTACTGACTCGGCCAGTTTGTCAGCTGGAATTAGAATACTGGTCACTGGGGGGAATCCACAACTAATTATGATGCACAGTTAATTTAAATTGTAACTTTAAACTGAACCTTGCCTATACAGTAGACACATCATTTATGCTCTTCTAATCATGTTACAAATTGCTTTATATTAGTCAGAAAGTAAAGTAAATGTAAGAAAACACGCAATCAGCCAACCTTTAGAAAGCGCTTTGTGTTTTCGGTTACTTGGCCAAAACCTCTTTCTGGCAACTTACTTAATCTTTATCATACCAGCATATTTTGCAACACCTTCCCCAAATTCTCTAAACCAAGTATAGTTATATTTCCAACGTCTTGGCATATTCAATTTTTAAAAAAGTAAACCTACAGATTTTGCCACCGACTACAAAACAAAGCAACTGGGAGCACATTGTACATGTACATTTTTTTCAAATACATAATAAACTCTGTAATATATGTGGCGTCAGCCAGAACGACAGATCATAATAATTTATAGTTTTTGTCGGGTTGTTTGCATGTATTTCAACAATACGCGTGCTTCATTCGTTGATCAACAGGGGGCGGCCCGTCGTTACCTCGCAAGACAGTTTCGATAACGGTTTGAAAATCGTTGAATATCATCATATGACATACGACATCTACAGTAAGTCATGTAAAATTCCACTCATTCATGATAAAAAAATGTATCAAGCGATAAGTGACATTACAGGCACACGTGTTGCCTTTTAATTGTTTCCGTTCACCATCGTAACTGAATGGTTTTACATGTAAATGTTTTCATCCTATTTCGACTATTTGATTGATCTGCAACTACATAAAAAGACATAATACAAGCCTTTTGTATTTGGTGTTTAAGGATGGCAAACAAAAAACTATTGGACTTTTTACTAGCTTGTGGATACCATAGCCGTAAAAGGTTTTTGAAAAAAATGGGGGAGGCTTTATAAAGTGTTATTATTTTCTTTTCTCCCAGTCTATCAGAATTCTTTATTTTTCCACAGGCGGTGCCACAGGCGGTATAAATTACCTGCTTGAATATATTGTAGGCATTGTAGGTCTGTGTATATAACAATATGAACACCTTGATGTTACCTTTGACCTTTATGAAAAAGAAAACGTCCTTTGATTTGTTTTATCTAAACAGGAGTTACCATAGAAATCGCTCAAATTTTAACAGACTGTCTGTCAATTAACCTTTAATGGCCTTTTTTAATCTTCTGCCCTAAAAAAGTAACAGTCGTCGTCGCAGCATTCATGTACTTGTAGCACCGACGTATGCTCTTTTATCATAATGTTTACATATGTACATGTACTTGCATGACTACTCATACATCTCGATCAAGTGGATAAATTGGATTTGACAGCCATTTTGGAATAAACTACCCACACAGTTTGATTTTAGCACAAATGTCCCTCGTAATGTTTTAGGCCACGGACTTCAATTATTTTCCATAATCTTTAGAGAATTCTCCACATTTGTCTCTTAAAGCACTTGAAAAATAGGTTCTGCTACGACAGTTGACAAACGGCACAGTGCATTTAGTATACCACTGATTTCCAAATGCACTGCATCTTTATTTGTTTTGGCAGAAAGGACAGTCCCTGAGACAGAAGTCTGACTAGCATAAAATATATTGGCTCTGTTCTATGTGACAGATAGTGATCTGTAGACAAACATCTCCAGACTCCATACTAATAGCTATTAGGGTCCTTTCTTTTGTCACCAAGGACCACACGTGTCATACAGTGTCACGCAATCAGTATTATTCTGCATGCTTTGAAAGCAGCGACTTGATAGTGCTACCACCGTTGTACCGCTTTATCGTGTAGATAAAGCAGCTCGGTATATTTCTTTTTATTTCCCCAAAATAACCATGTTTTCGTTTCATTATATATATATATATATTAACATTAAAAGAAAGTTTTCTGCAATTTCGTTCTTTGAGTATGCCTTACTCGTTTTTGTTCTAAAGCAAATGCCCCTACGTATAACTTTTCCATTATATATAATTAGACGCCTTGTTAACGACTAACAAAAACGTATTTCTAAAAGCATTTACATAAGCATTTACGGGGAGATGACTGTAGACATTTGTGTGTCACATCTTTGCTTTACACGGGATGATGAAGCGAAACGCTTTACTTCACTAACGACACATACACAGTTATGAGTCCTCCAATCATTGTGAATCTTTTTACTTGGGGATTATTGCCGCCCTTGGCTTAGGAGATGATCCATAAAAACCTCTAACATTGGATGAAATTACTCCTCACTAACGTTAAAAGCAAGTTTGATGTAATTTTGTTCTTTGAGTATGCCTCACTGGTTTTTGTTTTAGAGCAAATGCCCCCACGTATAACTTTTCCATTATTACATTTCTACACTTGGTGTTCTACTTTGATTAAATTTCTATCGATTATGTCCCTTTTCATCACGGAAACTTTAATTTGTTATAACATCTGAAATATTGAAATTGCAGAAATTAACGATTTCCGTCCATTCCAATATCTTTTCGAACCGGAGAAGAGTGATCGTGTCATCTGGAAGCTCTTTCATTTTCCGCTACATGGTGCAATATTAGTTGGCCTCAGGAGTAATGTAGGTAAAGGAAAAGGTAACACTATAATGTATGACTTGGTTTTAAGGCGAGCCTCAAAAGAGGGATTTTCTGTACAAAATCTTCCAGTGCGCTCCCAGAAATATAGCATCAATTTTCGAGAAAACCTTAGATAAACCATCTAAACCTACAGGGATGGCATTTAATCAGAGGGAAAAGATTTACATTTTATTGAAACAAAAGCAAACATTGTGTTTTAAACCAACATCCTCTACGGGGTCGTGGCAATTTGCGTGTTGTTTTGATGAGAAGAGCCATTGGGTTTAAGATGTTTTGCTGCGTGGCAATGTAAACAATGGACAAGAATATCAACACAGCGGTTGATTAAGGTATTCATAATATTGCAATTACCAGTAGGTATAACCAGGATATACATAAATTTTAAATAACAAGGGACACAAGGCCCTTCCCATTGGTAATTACAGTTTCAGTGAACACTGATAAATGTGATTCCAGCCGAACAATGCTGAGCCATCATTTAATCTAAGATAAACTTGAATTAAAAAAGAGATGGAGATTAATTTCAAAGAGAAAACGATCGCGACAGGTTTCAATTTAAGTAAAAATGCACCAGGCTTAGTATAAGGTAAGTGGCATAGAGATACATTTCAATGGTGGGATGTTGATTACAATATGTATTACTAGTCATTCCATCTGGATGTAGGAGTAAATTAATGCCATAACAGCAGCATCGAAGAAGCTGTGTTTTTCATGAAATTTTCATTATTGCGTCTAGTTATCTGCTTCTGTCGCATATGGTCTTTATCAAATAATAATCAGATGTTGGTAGGTATATATATATATATATATATACCACTGATTTCATGATAAGACATGGCAGTGAATAGACCAGTCCTACACGTTGAAGATCATGCATTTGGAATGACCAATGTTCGTGAATAAATAATGAAATGAGAACTTTGTAATTTTGGGGACAGATCTTGTACGTGTAAATTTGTGTTCATCAATATGCAGAACCTTGACGTTTCATTGTAAAGGGGGTCATGTAGAGAGGATCTAATTGCAGAAAATTGATTCTGATCAGATCCCAAGTGGAACACGAATTTGGCGGGTTTATCTTCCTTATCACACCTGATTCAATCATTCAATACTGGCAGACACACCAACAATTTGACCACTACAGAATGGAATCAGTTTAAACGCGTGTATTTGAAAGCGTCGAAGGTTAAAACCCCTTCTTGCTGTGGAAGGTTACGATCATTAAAATGAACTATCTTTCAGTATGCCAGATTATCAGATCACCTCACAAGTGCTTCTCCATTCCTGAAGTGCTCCTGTGCCAATTAGGAGCTGACATAGAACATATGCGATACGGTTCCAGCAGAAAGTGAAAAAGGTAAGCAATTATTAAGATGAGAAACTTCATATTTTTGAAGATGACGTGATCTGGTGGTGAACAGAATCGATTTATCATTTTGAATTAAAATGATAAAATGATTTGTCGGACAAAGATATATTGAAGTCTATAATTTATGATGCTAACTTGGTAGTCTAGGCGATATACTGGGGGAATATTTGAGTAACTACCCTAAATAAGATTTTGTGGTTTTTTATAATCTCCATGTAGATGAACATGCACAATTTTGCAGTCAAATATCAGTGATGAATTCATGTAAGACCATATTAGTGTTTTGTTAATTGATTTCCACGCTAGCATGAAAGAAGAGGATTTAACTTCGCATTATCTGGGTTGTTCCTCTTAAAAAATGGCGTCCACCTGCTGTGTTAATGAACAACTAATAAAACCCGATGCTTTACGAGGAAAGAGAGAGAGTGGAGTGAGGGGGAAGTAGAAAAAAAGAACTAAAAAGGAGGGGAATATCAAAACAAGAAGAGAGAAGAAAAAAGAGAGAGAAACAGAGAATGCAGAAAGGCCATTTAAAGTAACTGAGCTGGTGATTTTTGTCTGACAGAATAATGTGGACGAAACCTTCCCCTTTTCCTATCCTAACTCGAAAGTAACCAATCTGTCTTCAGGGACAAGATATGCACAACGCATGCTGCAATCTTTATAGAAGTCTCCTTCTTGCTCTGTATCCAGCTCCCTTTGGTATTTTTCCGGCACATTTACACAGTTGGGTGTTTATGATTTCTCAAGTAGTAAATGTGTTATAATAAGTTTCCCCTAAGGCTTATTTGTATGTCAAAACCATCACTTTTTAATGAAAAAAATGCGCGGATTGTTTATATATATCTTGTTACTGTCACATAAGCTAAATAAGCTACTCGGAATGATTCCTGCTTCCAATTTCGTGAGCATGCAAAGAGTTATTTACGTAAGGCTTTTGGAAAGGTTAGAATAATTCGATGTTCAAGATCAATTTAAGAAGCGCTTTCCCCAACCGTAATGCAAATAATGTGATAACTTTAATTACTGAAAAGCTTTCATTCCTGAAGCCAGTGGGAACTTTGATTGAAAAAAGTGAATGATGCACAGCGGTGCTGCCCCTTATGAAGTTTCTGTTCTATGGGACACTTTTAGGACGTCTGTCAAATAAAACAATTGGAAAAAATCATCACGCCCCAGTGGACACTTATTTAGGTCCATAATGACTTTGGTCGTCGCTGTCAAAACGAAAAATAGCCATGTGTTAAATCGATTTTAGAAAAATACTTGGTTGCAACCTCTGAGAAATGTATCCATGATTAAAATGACATTTACAGCAATGTTGGATCATGTAGCTTTTAAAAAATAAAGATGTCTATTTAGGACAATTCCTTAAAACGTGTAACGGCGTCGGGGCATTTAAAACCATCGGTGATGCATTATGCCTATTTTATCTTCACTAGGTTTCAGTGCAAGGTCGGAAAAGTGTAATAAAGAAGAAAAAGTACGACATGTGGCATGTAATTTGATTTAAGTCATTGGTGTAGGGCACCGGTGTCCAAATCAGTGGTAGTCAACCATGTGATATTATTACATGCTATGCCAGATATACATCAGCATGCATATCCATTCGTGCTCCGGGACACTGCGTCAAAGCGAGCCCCCTACTTTTCCACGCATCTTTTCCTTTCCCCCGATACATGTCGCATATACTGTGGTATTTCATCTCCAATCATTGTGATTAATGGGTCTTCAATCGTTGGAGAAGTAATTGCATTTACTGAACGTGCCTGATAAAAGCCTGTCAAAACTAGTTAATTTTTTCAGCGATCGTCTTACAAAAATCGCTCGTTTCCCAAAGAACTATGTGTCAGCCTTCTCTCTTAAAAAAATTTTCTCATGACACTAATCGATTTCCTTCAAAAAATCTGGAAATCGAAAATGGCCAAAGCATAACTGTTGGGAAAGTAAGCTGTTGTTTTGTCAGTTTTCGCTATGTTGCTGACCTTTCTCACACTCCTCGGACTTCAAAGTATCCTATTATTATTATTATTATTATTATTATTATTATTATTAGTATGATTAATTAATGTTGATCCATCAACTGTTTCCTGTTTTGGGCTTAAACGTTTAAGAAAATGACATCAGGTCGAAAAATGTACTTTTGTGCAAATCAAGTTAAAGCTTAAGATTGAAAAGACTTTAGTCATACATCTTGGTTGTAACCCTAGGTTAGCAAAAGGGTACTGGCAACTCTCCCGTGTTGCGTTCTCCAGAGATCCCCACAATTTTGTTCATCGATCCTTTATCCGAAACAAAATGAACACGCCGTTTATATAATGTGATCAGTTATCATCAAAATGATCACATTATCAGTTAATCATTGAATTTAACAACTAATCAATGAATTCAATACTTGAATTAATGAAATATATTCCCTCAACGACTTCTCACCAAAGTTGATAAAACGAAAACACCCTGTGTGCTGGATTAGCTGATTGTTTTAAGCCTATTTGATGAAGACGGCACTTAAAGAGAGATCCTTACAGGAACGCGTCATTTCAGAGCCAGAGCGACGACGATACAACGTAGAACTACGGCGGCACAGACGGTAATGAGTAAGTGTTATATTTCTTTGAAGATGAATTTACTGGACAACGTTTGACGATGTTTTGATTGTTTCTTTTTCAACCGATGTGAACTGTTTTTTTTTTTTTTTTTTTTTTTTTTTTTTTTTTTTTTTTATTTATTTATGGTGAACTGCAAATTAGCCAGTTAGCCAAATCATCTGAATTACCTCGCTGATGAAACTGTATAATTGCAGGTTGAATTTAAACCAGACGTGGTAAATGAGAAATATTGGAATTTGGTACATGCATGACAAAAATTGAAAGGTCTTCACAATAGAGCTCGATCAAACTGGTATACATAAAGGCATGCCTGGCGCATGTATTTCCGTTAAAGTGATAATGGATGAAATTTATCATTCAAGCTTATTACATCGAATGACTTTGAATGTCATCATTTCCTGTTGTCTTTTGAAATCGGCACATAAAATATACCTTGAAAAAACACGAAGGATTTTCATGCTGCTTCCTGCGGCTGATATACAGTTGACCCCCTGTGTATAACGACATTTTCGTTAATATTTTTTCACGATGCCCTAAATTATTGCTTTGACAATACTGAAGTAATCAACCCGTTGGATGAAATGATCTACATGTACGTAGATTATTATCTTGTTGACCACAGAAGTGATTACAATTACTATTCCAGTTAACAAAAAATTACTGTGCTAAAATTTGCTGAGATTTGCACCTTGCCACCTGAGAACAAATTTAATAAACTATATGATAAAGAACCTATTCTACAGTAGCGTGAACGGTAGCCTTTTAAAATTTCTGCCAGAAACTCCCTTCAGTGATGCTTTACTTTACCCTAGGTAGTTCCTAGTTCAGTTTAAAGTTATTATTCCATCTTTGCTAGCTCTTGGAGGTGAACTCATCGCTAATTGGAAATCTAGTTTGTTTGCTTACGGTCCTTGTGGACGACGACCGTCATCATGGAACCTGAGGCTCACAATGTAGTAGTTTGTCCTGCTTCGTGACAATAACCTCTAATGAGTTGGTACCAAATTATGGGTCTCTTCAATCAGTTCTTTCTCCATTCGAACACCATATCCAAGATTGATGAATTTTGGAAGTAGCTTGACCTCGTGGTATTTGCAAATCGTTGAGATCCGTGTTTAATTTTCACCACCGATTCTACAATTCACTGACATATCAATTGTAAATTACATCTCCTGTTGTTATAAGCAATATCCTTAGAGAATGGTCGCTTGCATCCACACATTCTGATGCCCCCCCCCCTTTATGAAGTTGAAATTTGCTTCTAAGAAAAAAATAAAGATTACAAAAGAAGGAAATGGAAAATGAAAGAATAACAGCAACAGGAAGGCGAGCTTGACATAATTAGGCAGCAGGTTTCTCTGGAGGAAGAACATTTGACCTGCCGTGTATCCGTGTTCACATTAGCCCTCACAATGACAGCTGCCTAGATTTCTTAAATGAGACAGGCATCGCATACATGATGAAACAGTTTCTAAATACGCCCCAAGACAACTTCTGATCTAATGTCTTTAAAAAGAGTTAACCGCTGCGTTTCTTTAAGTAAGCCGGTACTCGATATTTTAAAGATATATTATCTATCTTGGTAAAGGTTCATCGAAACCATCATCTGTTTTACCTGCATCACTGACTTTCACAGATAAACTGAGGAAGAAACTGTTCCTTTGAGACGGGTTCATCCATTAAACGCAATAATAAAATCAATGAAATTGCTGTAAAGAGACACAATAATAACCGCTTTGTGAAGATTGTTTATGAACATCTTCAATGTTGCGTTATCAATGTATATAGTAATTGATACAGACACCAGTTGATTGACCTCCAAGTTTAACGTTGGTGAAATGAGATGACGAATGGAAATCTAGATTCTTTCTGCTGCTGGTTCCTATAATTGCCCCGTGAATGTGAAATGGGGTGCATACAGACCTAGAGATACTCTGGATTTATTGACCTCTGGGTAAACTTTTATCAAGAAAACGATTCCGTTTAAGACACGTCCACAATAAAGATATTGAGAACATTGGCGAAAATGGTCCATTTGACTGTTAGGCCATGAATGATGGCATGGATTAGTCCGCCGAATAAGTTCTAAGTAACTCTGGTTTACTATCAAAAGACTTTCCGTTTTTCCAATAAGAGACTTGGCAATGAATTACCGACCAGTCTGAAGACGTAAGTGACACAATCATTAGTGCGGGTATGGATATACAGTATTTTGAAGTTTAAGGACCTTAGCACATGAAATAAAAAATATTGCCATTTACATGACGCACAAAAAATAGGAGCCTATTTTCTACATTACGGCCACGTTGAAAAGTTACTTCAATTTACAAACTGCTTCTGGTAAAAGAAACCACATATCCGTAACATTAACAACGTGCTCTTCTCTTGCGGGTAACGAACGCTCTGTGAATGCAGACTTGGGCATAATTGCCTGTGTTCACTTTGCGAGAATACTGATGTTATATGCGATGTACGAAAATGCTTTTAAACAAAGGAATTGGTTTCAAATTTTGGGATGCAAAATTGGTTGAATTTGCTACTTTCGTTTCGTTAACCTCAGTTCACCAGGGACAATGTATGCCCAAGTTATCCGCATTCTATGCCTGAAGAACTTTGGTCTGTTCAACTTAAACAGACTTCTCAGTTTTAACACGTCCTAAATAGCATGCTTGAACTACTAAAAATCCCAGTCAGCTATAGCATGAGGCCCTCATGGGTTTCCCACAGTCCAAAGCTGCTACAGATGAACCCTACTCCAAAGATAAAAAATGATATCCTTCTAGAAATACCAATTTTAATGGGGAATGGCGGTAATACATTTATGTCCGGGAATCAGCAAAACAAACTCGTTGAAATGTTACATCTTAAACTTTTCCTGGATAGTAAAATGCGTCCATGGTGTTTAAACTAATAGATAGCTCTGACAATAGGGTTGCAACACTGCACTGGCCAGTACTAAAAACAATCTAAGTATCAAATTGTTTTGTTTACACATGCATGCATGTACATCAGCATTCGGCCCATTACTGTAAATAATAAAATACGGCATCCAAACGGTCTTTACTGTTATTCCCCAATAAAACATTTCTAAAACTGATCACTTCTAAAAATTGACGGGACAGAACAACCTTCGGACCGGAAGTACCGCACAAAGTAACCGAACCATTGGCATTTAGAACGATAAATCTGAAATATGTTAAATGAAGAAAGTCTCGGAAATAAGTATGTCTGGACACGAAAAACTGATTTGCCACGTAAGTCTAAGTTCCCCGCAGTGTTCTCTAGCAATTCCCCAACTCCATCCTACATTAGAACGAAGACATTAAAGCTGACAAAAAAAGCCTGCAAAAACAAGGTTACTTCAACCCTTCCCCCCTCCAGATGAAAATAGATAACAATGATTACAATGAGAATGTAGAAACAATCCGCTGTTGTCTTAAATGTCATCATTGGTTTCGTAATAGAGGGGAATAGACAAGGCATCACTGAAATTGAGTTGGGGGAGGGCAAAGTACAGCTTATCAAAAAGAAGACATTCCAATTTTCTGTTCGAAATAGACGATGTTTTCGCCTCAGTAGGGCAGATTCAACTCTTGTAGAGACGCTGTCGGTTCTGTACTCCATGTATAGGTGGCAGATGTGCAAGGACCCTATTTGAAACATTTTAAAGCATTGAATTAAGTTTGAAACCGAAACCGATATACGAAATATCGAGTGAGTGTTATCTTTAATAGCAGCGTCCCCATGGAAGCCTGCGGCTTTCATGGGCGTTAATCCATATCAAAATGGCACCGAGTTACGAAGCCACATAGTTACCACGTGCCCTTTATTTGAATTAACCGATCTTTAAAGTATGGCGAAGTCAGGGTTAGAAAGATGTATCCAATTTTTACAAAGAACCATTATAAAGAGTTGAATCATTCAAAAAGTCGTGAATTTCGCTTAAAAACATAAATACATGTTATTAAAGGTGCGCTTCAACATTAAATAGCATGTTCAACTATCAATAAAACACAGTCATACAGAAAATACAGTAATATCAAAACCCATGATAAAATAGACCCCAAAGAGCGATTCCTATTATCGAGCGTTTCGTTGTCTCCGTATTTGTCGCGCATTATTTTTGCAATATCGGTGTTGTTTTGTTATTGTAGGGTCATGCCACATATCGATAAGGGATATCTGCTGCATATTTTTATGGTTTTGGCGTATACAATTAGACCTAGACCAACGACCAAGAAAGAGAAAAATTCACTTCCCCACTTCAGAGCCATTTCATCTAGTTTGTGCTTATCAGCATCTTCCTTTTCGGAATTTCGAAAACTAGACCTTTTACACTCTATTGTTCTTAAGCAATTTATTTTGTATTAAAGTGATAGTCAACTAGTAGGAGTTCTGACAAGAATTTTGAAATGATTATTTTTGTTCATAAGATCCAATACAAGGACGTCTTGATTGCCAAAACACTCGCAATAATGAACTGTGGGTTATTTTAGTGCGTGTTGAGTATTGAGGGATGGGAAAGTGGCTACTCATTTCGATGTTCTGTATTAAACTTAATAAACCTGCAGGAATCTTTGTTTTGGGTTGTTTTTTTATCAGTAGAATTTTTTTAAAACTTAATTCGGAATATATCTGTTTACATGCCACAGTAAGTGAACCTTCAAGTCCATGTTAGGTTGGTACAGAACGACATTGCCTATTTCAAAACTTGAACTTTTTCAGCCAAGTTCATAAGATGCGGGACAAATATATCAGCTTGTGAGGGTGGCGGGAGAGGGGGGTCTCTCTCCAAAATTACAAATTGACAACCTGGACCATGAATGGGGGTAGGGAAGTGTTATGCGTACCTATGGTATCCGATATACGAGATACAACGCATTTTGCATATCTGATAAAAAGAACATTTTACCAACTCCATTTCTTCTTATTTTACTCTTTTCTAGTTTTTAACCGGACAAGTCTTGCCATATTCAAAATTGAAAATTTGTTGCTTCGGACAAAGTGAAAAATCCTATGGCAGCCTTTTTTATTCCCAAACCCAATGAAACTCTAGCACAAAGAATGCGTTATTAATTTAGTCATTATTTTCCCATTCAAGACTGATCATTAATTTTTTGTAATTAATCTTTTCCCAAGCAATATCAAGTAATTGCTAGGATGAAAAGAATGAATTAAAAGGATCTTTGGTAGGAAACCTCGCTTACGTGCAGTTTCCCTTATCCTGGCGCCATCTGGCAAATGAAAAAGATTGAAATGAATGCTCTCAATTTAACGTTTACGGCGATCTTTTTGGCAAAACCTCCAACCTGAATCCTTCACATTCAAGTTAGGTTGTTACAAAAGTACATCACCTATTTCAAAACTTGAATTTTTCAGACTAGATCAGAAGATAAGCGACAAAGATAAGGGAGTGAAAGAGCGCATTCAAAACAGATGAACTGCGGACTAACTGATCCACCGACTTAGTATGGCCGACCCCACCTAAAAGCAAGACACCTATACCCCTGATGGTCTCCCCGCCTCCACATGCTCCATTCAACGGATTAAATCTCGGCTCTGAGGTTTAATTGCAAGACCCTTGCGGCGATGGTGCGTGTGGAGACGGGGTGACCAGCGGGGGATTAGCGGCACCATTTTTAAGTGGGTCGGCCATATTTAGTCCGCAGACCTGTTAGTCTGCGGATCAACTTGTTCCGAATGCACTCAAAGTTTCGCTACCTTAGCTGGCATTATTAATATAGCCATACTAACAGAAACATGCCATATCGGTAGTTATAGGCTAATATATAGATTTGTTGTATTAGCTTTCTTTGAAAAAATAAAGCATCTGTCATAACGGTGTTACGAGAACGGAGATCCTTTAATTTTTAACAGCGCATACAAAAATGAAATATTCTAACATCATCGTCTTAGACGAGTATCAGATGCATAGACGCCATTCAGCTTAGACTGCGGCGACAGTCTGGTGTCCAGGTATAGGCTGCTCCCATGATACCATGGCTCCTCGGTTCTTGAGAACGTGTGTCCTTGGATCTTGCTGTCCCCTTAATTAACTGTACTACCGGAAATTAAGTCCCAGATGTATATATTTAGACATGCCATGCGCTGCCTATAAAAGAAACCCTGTTACTGTTAACAATTAGAAATTCCGTATTAAGCGGGTGTGTGTGCAAAACATGCATTTAGCATTTAAAAACCTCCAAGATTTTCTTTCAGTGACGAAATCTGTTTCACCTAATTTTATTTATAAAAGTTATATTTTTGCTTCCCACCTACTGGCACTAATGTTTTGCATTAAGCCAGTGGAGTTTCATTGTGCGTGAAAAAGTTGCTAGTGAACAAGTCTTTCTGGTCAAAGTGAAAAAAGGTCTGCAACTTATTACAGTGGATTGACTAGTTTTCATTCATTCATACTATCAGTAAGCAATAAGACATGTTTGAAAATGATCTCATTTTGGCAATTATGAATTCAATGTTCGATAAATGTAAAAAGGCCTGATTGGATTCGGGAATGAAGGTGTCAAGCACGAGAAAGTAAGATAGCAACAACACATATTTCCAGGAATAATTTGCTTATTGACGTCAAGTATACACAGATGTATCGGGGTGGGTTGCAGGAGGAACTTTTTTTTTTTGGTTCGATCGGTGTATCTATATTCAAACTGATTTATGAAGCTTAGAAGGTCCCGGGGATGCCAAGGATAGCCCACGGTATAAGCAAGAACAATGGCGAAGGAAATTTTTTGTATATATATATACACGAGGGGTGTTCAGTCACAGCCCACGTACTTCTCAGACTGAGAAAGACGAATTACTGTTAAGTAGACGCCTTTCTATGAATTACATTAGCGCTTCTAATAATATGTTTTGCGAAGGAAAAAAGTTATAATGAGATTGGATGTCTGCAAATCCTCTATACCTAACTTCAGGTTTTGGACAGTGCATGACACAGACGTGATCATTATTTGAGAAAACATAAGGGGCTCAATTACCAAGGAAATTTGTTGCGTAGATTGGTCATAAATATATAAGCCGATTACCTGAAACGTAATATTTATTTCTTCATTATTTGCAGATCAACGCAAAGAAGGTTTCTGTCGTTGTTGGACTTCACGCATTTGGAGGGAAAAATTCTCACGGATATCGCTATGAATCTGACTTCGCTAGTCGTAGAGGTGAATGCTTCTGAGGGTAATTCAGGAAATAACAGTGATGGCTCAGATACCCTCAGTCCATCAGATGCAGTGTTTCACGTCGCAAGTCGAGTAATATCTCTTTTAGTGTTCATTATAGTTGGTACAATCGGCTGCGTCGCGGCGTTCACCTGGCTATGGTGCCAAAGGCGACGAAAATCCAGAGTGAACCGTCTCATTCTTCACGTTACGCTGGCGGATTGGTTGGTTATAGACGTATGTTGTGTGTCGCAATTTATCTGGGAGAGCATTCCTGAGAGAGAGTGGCTGGCAGGGGAATTCATGTGCAGATTCATAAAATTTCTCCAGGGGTTTTCCATGATGGCCAGTTCTGCTATGCTTCTCGTTCTGGCCTTCGATCGTCACCAAGCAATCCGTTCACCGCTTCGGAGACACAATCCGGTAAATATTTTTTTGCATGTTATTAGTATACCGTTCTCACTCGTAGTTTTTAGACATGGCAAGAAAATGGCTGTTTTGTTCTTTTGTTTTGTTTTAGGCTTCATGTTGATTTTTGTTTATAATCTTGGTCTCATTTACTTGTTCAGTGTAGATTGCTTAAACGTGCTTTTTGCGGTTGATCGAAGGAAACAATCCCACCTTTCTGTGAAATGTCTTTGGGTCTGTAACTGATGTTAAAGTCATATAGTTACGCAACTTTTTAAAAAAAATTTTGACAATCTTTTTTATTCTATTTATTTATTTATTTATTTATTTATTTATTTTTTTCAAATTTTACGTTGACATTCAGTGATCTATTTCGTGGGCAAGGCCCGAACAATTTTATTTTGCATACTGCGTCGTTTTTATCATCTGACTGACTCAGTGTCATTCTTAGGTCGTTAAAATGCTGACCCAAGAAAAGCAGAGCTGATCTTATTGATCATAGGTCTAGTGCTTTAAGAGACCATTCGTATTCATTCATATTCTCGGCGTCATCAATAATTTTCAGGCATTGAAGATCATAACTGAATGGTGACCCAAACTCAAAATTAATCTTCGAATATTTGTGTTTGATTCTTTTTCTTCGTTGAGCCCCAGTCGAGAGAGCGATTAATGCATTTATCTTATTGTCAGTTAACGCACAGTGCAAGTTTTGAGCACGTCTTGTAATTTCACTTCGTAAAGTGTGCAAAAAGTCTTTAGAAAGAATAACAGGTTCCCACGATCCCACAAAGCCTACAAGCGGTCTCTTTAAGCATGTCTCGGTTATGTGCCTGTATAAATGCCAGAATATTCAGTAGAATGAATTAATAGGCCTTTTAATGCGATTGGCAACTGATTAAGGGCATTTGATTTCCATTCAACACATCGGCTAAGCCCAAACTTCGAGCGTACATACTTCTTGGCAGATTGCAATCGACCAGATAAATGTTTCTGTGCTTCCTTGGTTTATCTTAAGTATGAGGTAATTATTTTCGCCTGTTATGTCAAAAGCTGTTCTGAAAACCTTAGCTTATGTGATTGCATTTCCTTTATGATATCGGATGGAAAAACGCACCGAAATTTGAATTTCTTAAAAACTGTCGAACATGGTTCAATGATGTATAACTACTTAATATTGGCTTCAAACATGAAAGTTTTGACTCAGTTACTGTAATAACATTGATTCGATGTTCAATAATAATGATAGTCCAAATACAAGGCCGGAATTAAGTGTTTTATCGTCTTCAGCATGACGATTGCAAATCAGAATACAACCTCAACCCTTTCAAACAAGGTTACAGAAGGACGTATTAAACAAATTGCTTTTGGATATAATACATAATCTTGATCGAATTTACAGAATTATTTGTTATCCAAAGTCAAAACATTTAGGTTTGTCCAACCGCGAAAGTGCGTGGCGCCTGGAATCTCAAAAAGGAAAATAAACCATATTTTAAACTTTTGGATAATAAGTACATATTTGTCGCAGAGGCCAATTCATGCATCATAATACAAATCGCAACGATTACAAGAGAAATCTCTAAAAACCTGCCCTGAATTAACTTGTGAAGATTCTTTTGTCTATAGTTACTTTTATTTGTCTGGTCTTACCAGCCAATATTTCGTCAGACAAATGTAAGTAGCTATAGACAAAAGAATCTTCACAAGTCTATTGCAATAACATAGCAAATGAAACTGTTCTACACTTCCCGGAATTACTTAACTTTTAATTGAGCGACGCAGGGATGTTACAAAAGATATGGAGTCAGAAAGTGCCAGAGGCAATACCATGAAGATTTTATGATCGAAATTACATTCCATTGTAAAATATAATTTCAGTCATAACGGCTTAAAAGAATGTGTGCATTTCCCCCCTTTTTAGTTTTCCTTTATAATATGACCGATTTCTCTTTAAAGGTTTGGGTAACCGCCGCCATTGGATGGGGTGCGGCGGCGCTGCTGTCGCTCCCGCAGCTCTTTCTGTTCCACATGCGTGACGACGACGGGATCAGCAGGTGTGAGAACCAGTTCCGATATAAACCCAAGTGGCACCGCCAAGCTTACGTCACCTTCGTTTCTCTGGTAGTGTTTTTCATCCCACTGTTGTTACTTTTATTCTGTTACCTAAGCATTTTTTTGAAAATATCAAGAAAAGCGAACCAACAGCGTCTGCCCCAGAAACCGGCCAAGATTGTGCATCAACCCGACCGAAAAAGTGATCGAGTTTACTTGCAGTCTACTCCGTCGACTTCAATAGAAAAAGCTAAGACCAAGACGCTTATCATGACCATAGTCATTGTGGCTGTGTTTATCTTGTGCAGCACCCCATACCATGTTATGGAGATGATAGTCACCTACATCACGGCCAACGTTGACCCTATCTGGTACGGCATATTTGGTTCCGCTGCAGTCGCCAACTCCGTGGTCAACCCATATATCTTTCTGATCTTCAACGCGAAGTGTACACAGAAATCAAGCTCAGGAGTCCGTGCACGTACGGGATCCAACACAACCAGATCTACGTTTTTCACGCGAGGTAGCGTCAACCGTGGAAGTCCCCCTGTGGCCTACTCGAGAGTGGAGTTGGGGAAAATGCCAATAACTGCTTCGGCGATGTCAGACCAAAACTGAATGCCGAATTAAAGTGTGGCGTTCAGCGAGACAGTACTTTTTGTACGAACACGCGGTTCACATTGAACAGACCCTTTGAAAATTGATGTTGTCATTAACAATATGAAAGTATTTGAAAACAAACCTGACTCAAAGTTAACTGAAAAGTGTTCTAGCAAAGTGCTCTTGGAAGGAGGACACTACCATCAATGAAAAAAAAAGTAAACTGAAGAAAATAATATAATAATGAAGCAACCATGACGGGATTGTCTCAGATATGAGCTGATGACGTCTGAGTTACAGGTTCACAGGTGCCCCACAAGTACTCTCACAGGTGCTTTCCAGACATTGTTGTAGGAGGACAAAAAAAGTACCTCCATCGTTTTGCAGGACCCCAGTGGGTGAAAATACTTGCCAATGAGTAGAGTTAGTCAAAAAGCTTACACTGACTCTCTGGGAAACAAAGGTGTTGAAAACACGTGAGAAAGGGATGAAAGGATGTGCAGGCTTGTATGTGTCAGGCGCCTACGAAGTCAGTTGCGGTAGCTACCTAAGAACACATGCACACGGGTTCGTGAGGACTGTAATGAGAACAAGGTGTCGGTACTTTGATGAAAGCCTGATGTAAAAACTGAGGATGTTTAACGAGTTTTATCACAAAACGCTATTTTCTTCCGGTCTAATTGACTAAATGGCCGTATCACTATCTTTCTGTGCTTTCTGAAAAAAAAAAGAGAAGCAGCCATTCAAAAATTGACTATAATGCTATATTAAGAGAACCTAGGGCGGATCGATGGATTTCCCTTATCCGCTTAGATAATGCGGAAATAAAAATTGCCATGTAATGAAATAGTTCTGTCCTAGCAAATTAACATCGGGTGAGTTTGTCAACTCGAATTGATGGCATTTCAGCCAAGTTTGGGGTGAAAACTGTAACATTGATTTCAAACATATCTCCCTCACCTGTACAGCCATCAACACCTTTTTAATGCCCGATTAATTTCAACAATAGGTACTACAATGTCGAGCCAGGAATCATTCTTGAAATGTTCACTTCTTTTTTATCGCCACAGAGGCAAAATAATGCATTTGTTTACTGAAACATCCTAATTAGGGGCTCATTTATCCTGAACAAATATGTAAAACAAATAACGCTGGGGGCGGATTGGAGTTCAAACCCTAATGGTCGACCACGCCAATTTCTATGAAAACACCTTATTTATCAGTTATTATTTCAGAAATCGATCACTATCTTACAAATTTACAAAGCAACAAAATTGACAATTTATGCTTGGTCACCCTTTGGGCAGAATTGCGTGGGATGGTTAATAAAGCAACAAGAGAGGGGGTATGCGCTCCAAAAGTGTTTATTTTTATTGCACTTATATAAAGATAAATATTTCACATAGAAGAAACATGGAAAAAATTATCTGTCAATTGTATGTTCTTATAGCCTATCGAACCCCTTAACCATATTTATCGATGTGACCAATATATATTGATGTGACCTTTGATGTATATTTGTATTAAATTGACTTTAACGTAAAGGTATAATGGCGATTCAAGAGAAAACTTAAGTGAATAACCAGTTTAAAGTGGTTTAATGGGAACATCCAAGATAGCCGAAACTGAGGCTAAAGGCAGTATGTGACGCCGGGCGTGGCCGAAAAAAAATTAGGGTCTACGAAAAAAGGGATGAAACTTTATGTGAAAACATAAAAGAAAAAAACTCAGGTAACACAAAAAGTGTGTGTTAAATTGTTGTTCAACACATTAAAACTAGAAAGAATTAAGGAAACTAAGGATGGTTTCTGTCACCTTTCATTTTTACCTCACCAGTCTCGCGAGATCCCGCATGTGATATGTGATGCTGACTCGAATTCGCAAAAGCAAGTCGCGATCACTGTGAAGTGAAAGCTGTGTTCAGTTTTATATTAGCATTGGCAAAACTAAACCGACTGTATCCCCCATCCGCTACGCGCTCTTGCAGCCGATGAAGGTTATTTTCTATTTAATCCCGTAGATTTATAACTTCCCTTGATTTTTTAGACTAATTTTCGTGCCTTCCAGCTACCTCGGATGTTCCCAATTGTTGGTCAAATTTTTGTATTTTTATCAAATACTGTTGACTACTTAAAGTTGTATAATAACAATAGCACCAATCAACGCTTGTAAAAACAGCTGCTTTCTACTCTCGTCAGATGTTTCTTCGTAAATATAATACTATACTTCTAGTAAATCATCCTTCTAAAATTTGTATATAGTACGTATATGCTGAAGATAATTTAGAATATATATCTATCGTAAGTTACTATTTGCCCTTAATTTTTTTTTGTTAATTAATGGATTGAACTGATTGTACATGTATATTATGTGGGGGGAAAGAGACCGTATTTGGATTTTTCTTGCTAATACTGTTATAAAATATAGTTTTAATGGAAACATGTATTTGTAACATTTGCTTATGTTTTATGTTATACAAAGAATATAAAGATATTCTTGAACACAAGATCTGTGTCGTCTTGGCATTGGATTTGAACATTAAAATGTTGCAGTATTGTAATATTAAATAAAATCATATAACTTAGGCTTCGTTCACATGCAATAGAATTTAGAAAATAGACATTGCATGTGAACGAAGCCTTAATCCCTTCATATAAATCTATGCCCACAATAGCGCATTTCTTAGAGAATAGTCTCTTTCTTTTGCACAACACATTTATCATTTGCCACATAGGAAACATTATCCCAAAGTTATTGTGACAGAATTGGTGATATCACTTGGCAAGTACTTGAACTTGACGAATCAATTTAGTCAGATGTAAAACATGGTCTAATTGGGAGAGATCCGTGTGCAGTGCCTGCACATCCTTCAAACTTGCCCAATAGACATCAATAACTCTTTAATTATACATAGAAATTCAATAAACTTTCACTCAATACTACTTTGTGATGTAGCATCTGACACATACATGTACATTGTAACAGATTTGACGGTATTATTTTTGTATTAATCCTGTGGGATTTTATTCAAAAACCATAGACTAAAACGCAATGCCGGAATGAAGCGTTCCGGAAGTCCATCTGAATACTTTTAGAAACATATTTAAGTATAATCCATAAAATCCATTGAAAAGAGGGTATCATCCACGAAAGTGCAAAACTTTTAATTTTTGCATTGTATTTATTGACGTTCATTTTTATTCTAAATGCCATAAGAAACTTTAAGCTATATTGAAGGGGTCATTTTTAGTAAACAAAATCTTGAAGTTCCGTACGGATTTTGTAAATGTTCACCCCATGTATCATCTTTCCCTGTCGTATTGAAGGAGCAAGTTGTCTTGGTCAGTTCGTTAAAATTGCGTTCATTCCGTGCCTATATTAATCAAACGTATTTGTTTGTGCAATAGATGATGCACACGCCACCAGTGAGCTATGCCTTCCAAGACATGTTCAACGAACGTGACATAATTTACTAACCATGTTTATATTATAAAGCCAACGCTATCACATTTAGAATCTGTGACTTCACTGGTGTGAATATTGTACAATATAACAATAGCGCGTCCTCATTTCCGCTTCGTGCTGCAAACGCCACTGTCTAGCATCAAGTTCAAGGTACCTAGTACGTTCGTTTCATTTTAAGTGCAATGATGTTTGATTTTTTTTCGTTGGATAAACGTACGACACGCACACAGTTCATAAACACCCACTGTTTGATTATCTTTATCTGAAATAAGTGTTAGGTCCTCTTTACGTCGATTGGTACATGCATCGGATTTCAAATACTTAGACAAGTCATTACTTGTTATTGTGCACTACTTAACAAGTAGATCACAACCCCGAGTGTACTACTAAGAAGCCAGAACCTTTTATTACGTTACCATAACGTTTTTTGGTTACATAAACATTATGATAACGTTACAATAACGTTCTGTTTTTGCTGGGAATAGGGCAAAGTGAGGAGAAATATAGGAACCTTATTTCCTCTCACTGTGCCCTATTCTTCCTACCACAGTGCTCTATGTGTTTTATTATAACGATTTCCATCAAAGTATGAAGGAAAGACAACTTTTGGTCTTGGTTATTAATCTGAATTAATAAAGTTGTCTGTGTGATTAGTGATGTAGCTTTTAACAATAAGATATATATTTATATTTATATATATGTATAAATATGTAACACTTTTAACATTTGAAAATATTAGGAACACTGAAACGATTTATCAAATGTAGTGAAAATAAATTCATGGCAAGATAATTTCAGTATATATACCGGGGCGTGCAGAAATATATTATGTGACAAATAATACTTGGTAACGAAGGCTTTATCAGATCGGACTGAAAATAACCTGAAACCACCAAAGATGCGGATCGGATGAAGCCTCCCATGTCTTTTTCAAATTCCGTCTTAAACATCTTTGCTGGTTTCCTAAGTAGACGACTGGCATCAACGTTTCACAAAGCCAGTGCAAATGCCATAACAGGAAATACATATTGCAATCGTCTGCGTAACTTCAAGACTTGTGGCGTTTTTAGAAATATTGTCGTCTAAAAATAGTTAAACTCCGATCGTTTGACTTTAGTCCAGAAAAGAAAAAAAAACACTGTTAATTCAAATTAGGTCTGCCTAAGGTTGGACGAAAGGCTAGATTGGAATTGCTTCGAATCTGGCCTTTGGTTTTTCATTTTCCCTTCATTTCACCATTTGCTGTCTTTCAGTGTTTGTTGATTTAGATTTATTCCCAGTGTGTATAGTCTCGTGATTGAAAGTCAGACTAATAACAATTTGTGGTAGATTAAGGCGTCAAGAGAGGGACAAAAGTTTTAACCTGTTTCTTTGTGTTTATAATAACGTTGAATTAACCGATTAAATGATATTTTAACCAAAACTAAAAAATGTGGCTTTTGATGAGTTTTCTACCTGTACATACTGCACCCAGCCCAAACTACATAATCAAGCATCCGTTGTCAAAGAACGTGCTATAGGGAGGGCGAAAGAAAGCTTAGGACAATTAATGAGTTAAAAGCCCATTACCTGTGTGGTAACAGACCATAAGTCATAAGTCACGTAAAAACATTTTCGCTGTGGAAAAAAGCTGAAGAAGATGGTATGGTGGGAAGGAAAACCCAGAATTTGTCGAGTGAAGGAAGAGCTACAGGCTGGGTGTTTTCCTCCCACTTAGTTCCGAGTTGGCAACATTATACACTTAGAGGCCATTCAGAACAGAAGTCCGAGGATGTACTGATCCGCGGATCAAATATGGACGACCAACATTAAAGCAGAACCGACTAATCCGCTGAATGTTTCCCCGCCTCCACATGCGACTTCCTTGCAGGGATCTAGCAATTAAACCTCGGAGACGCGATTTAATCCGCTTAATGGTGCGTGCAGAGGCGAGGAGATCCTCAGCGGATTAGTCAGCTCTATTTCCATGAAGGGTCCGCCATATTTGACTGCATTCCCACAGATTTAGATCGATCCAACTGGATCGACCTAACTCCCTGGGGGTTCACGCTAAATTGTTGTTGGCCGAGCGCGCACTATAGTTAATTACCCCCTTACAGCTTTTAGTAGGCGGGACAGACATTTAAACCGACTAAGCTGACAGTAATCTAGTGAGACTCCCACAGGGATAGATCGATCTAAAATCTGTGGGAATGCAGTCTTTGATCAGCGGATCAGTAGACCCGAGAATCATCTGTTGTGAATTATTAAGCGGTCTTCCTTTCATATATTGTCCGCCATATTTGATCCCTGGACCAGTTGATACTCGGATCTTCCATTCTGAATGGCCCAATGTCCTCTTATTGACTTTGGGTGAGGCTATCTAACGGCAATTATTCGGGTCGAATATCAGCATTAAGTGACAGAAACACTAAGTGTATAACTGTTTTGTTACATGATCACGGATTTTAAAAACAATACACATTGAGAACTTTCATGCGCTTACGGTGCAATTAAACGAGAAAGTAGATTATCCAAATTTACTACAACTATTACTTCTGCTACTATCATTATTATTATTATTATTATTATTATTATTATTATTATTATTATTATTAGAATGGTAATGATTAAGTGCATTCATTTAGTTTAATAAACCGTTTTGAACATTTTGATTGCTGCCCTGATGTCATTTTCTCCCCCCAAAATTTCGATACAGGGTCACCTCTGGGACAGTGCACTTAAACCCTGTATTCAATTATACTATTGGGACGTATATTCTATTCTATTAAATAGAAAATAAGACATATTGCATCACTACTTGGCCTTTATTCCTTTCCCCTTTAGACTCTTTAAAATCCCGCATTTGCATTTACAAAGAGAACTTAATGATTTAGTCTCATAAAACCCCCGTCTATTTCAATACGTCTAAGTTGATTGTGTCGATAGCGCTGACAACGTATGCAATTAAAACAATGTGAAGGAAATGCACATCTTTGAAACACAGAACTGACGTACCTGAGGTGGGGAGTGGGGAATACAAAGCACAATCCTGATCCGGAAGGTATGCAAGAATCCGATCTTTTTGATCAGGTTTAAGATCATGAGAAAATGCCGGTTGGATTTTTCCCTTGAGTCGGTATAGATTAGCAACGAGTCTTCTCATTTAAAAATAGTTCCGTTGCTCAGGCATCTCTTGTTTTACATTTGCCACACAGGCTTTCACCTTTCAGATATTCGC